GGCCTGACGAGCGCCTCTGTCCCCCCTTGGTTCGGCTGACGGAAAGGGTGCTGGGGCTCTCTCTGCAGGGAGGGCAGGTGCTCGCTGGTCACCTCCTTCGGTGTCTTTAAGTACATGGCCCTGTACAGCCTGGTGCAGTTCGTGTCCGTCCTGCTGCTCTACACGGTGAGTCCTCGCCCGACGCCTGCCATGCTCAGGGATGGTTTTGGGGCACCTTGTCACCCGTGACCTTCCCTGGCCCCTCCGTGGGTCCTCGCAGCTGAGAGCGGGTGGTTTCTCCTTCCCAGATCAACACCAACCTGAGCGATTTCCAGTTTCTCTTCTTCGACCTGATCATCACCACCACCGTGGCGGTGCTGATGGGTCGGACCGGTCCTGCCCAGGAGCTGGGAGTGGAACGTCCCCAAGGAGCGTTGATCAGCGTCCTCGTGCTGGGCAGCCTGCTCCTCCAAACGGCTTTGCTCATCACCGTGCAAGTCCTCAGCTACTTCATCACCGTCTCGCAGAGCTGGTAAGGGGCTTCGCGTGGGTTTAGCGATGGGAATGGCGCAGAGGATCGCAACGGAACCCGGGTGCTTGGCCTTGGTCTTGGCCTTGGTCTTGGCCAACGCCGGTTGGCATCAAGGACGCCTCCAGCCACCTTGCAGCCAGCGGCTGCTGCGTGCTCGTGGAGAGCGAGGGGTCGGCGTGTAGACCCCCCTCCTCGCCCGTGGCTTCCTCTGCCCCCCTGCCCGGCCCAGGTACGTGCCGCTGAACAGCACGGTGACGGCCCCCCAAAACCTGCCCAACTACGAGAACACGGTCCTCTTCTGTGTCACGGGCTTCCAGTACCTCATCCTGGCCGTCGCCATGTCCAAGGGGTACCCGTTCCGGGAGCCGCTCTACACCAACGGTGAGGACGATGCTGGCCACACGGACGAAGAGAGACATCGAACCTTCATCCTCCTCCTCAACCCTCTTCCTTCTCGCCCTCAGTGCTCTTCTTGGTCGTCCTCATCCTCCTCTTCGGCCTCATGATCTGGCTGACCCTCTACCCGCTGGGCTTCCCCAAAACCCTGCTGAAGCTGAAGGGCATCGACGATTTGAATTTCAAGCTGTTGCTGCTGGGGATCGCCACCCTCAACTTCTTCGCCGCCTTCGTGCTGGAGGTAGGTCAGCCCAGGGTGGGGTTGGGCACACGAGGGACTCGTGTCGTCCTTTTGGGTCCGTCCAAGCATCCCCTTTTCCAGGAGCCGTGGGTGCGGAGGGAGCAGGGCTCACCTTGCCGTCGGCTCTGCCCTCTCCTCGGGGTCCACAGCCTCCCCAAAACCCCTTCCCCCCCACGCCCCCATCTTTGCCGCA